GATCACATCATCCCTGTAAATATGATCAAGGTTAAGAACAAGCTCGAAGTAAATTGCGCTACTGCAACTCAGGATGATAAGCCTCTGCTATTCAATCAAATTTCACAGGAGGTAGATGGGGGTGAGGACGATAATGTATCATTTGAGAAATGGAATGCTCCTGAAGGTTTTAGCTTATTGCAAAGCAATGAGGCAGAGCCCCTAAATTCTGATAATTCGACTTTAAAAAAAAACGCATGAGCTATGAAGAACTGGAAAAATCGCTATATGAAGTACTTGAATTCAACATTAAATTGATCGAACTCAATAAAAAACTACAGACTTATAAAAATAAATCTGGACAATCAAATGAAAAAAATACCAATATAGAGAAAGCAAAGATAGATTAGTTAGGTTATAAATCACTTTCTGATTCGCGTAAGGCTTCTTCCATTCCTTTGCGTTCTCGCTCTATCAAAGTATATAAGTCATCCATCTCCTCTATTTTAAGTAAGTTAGAAGTTCCAGATTTTGATTTTCTTTTCTTTATCCGTTTATTAGAAGCAACAATAGAATTTTCTATTGCATTGCAAGATCGAGAGGGCACCACGACTGTAGCATGGGGCTTCACCCCTACAGAGCATGTAACATGATTTATAGATTGTATTTTTTTACCTATGTAGTCTTTATCAGTGGAAGTGCCTTGATCGATATTTGACTGTGTTGATTCCATTGATGAGCACGATTCAGATATAGATATATTTTGATTTGAAACTACCATTGTATCTGGTATCAGTTGGTGCCATTCAACCATACAAACTTCCTGCCCTCTCCAAATTTTATAAAAACGGTTATTTGTCATAGGATATCTTTCCCTTAACTTCTTTAAAATATCAGTTTTTGGTTTTGCATCACGGTACTGCATAATAAACTTATAATCTTCTGAAGATAAGGGAACAGTATCAGACCACATACGTTTAACTATATTAACATTAAAAATATTTATACGTGTAGTATATGTAATACTAATATCGATAAAAAATATATTAAAAAAAATATTTATACGGATAGTATACATAGTATCTGTAATTAGTATGGATAGTATGTGTAGTATCTGTAATTAGTATGAATAGTATGTGTAGTATACATAGCAGACATAACAGACATAGTACACGTAGCATACATAGTACGCGTAGACATATATTGAGTTTATCTGTAATTTTTTTGCTATATTATTTATTAATTGATATAGTTCATACGATAGATCTTGAAAAAGAATTACGTTGTAATCTTCAATCCTCTTCTAAATTGTGTGATTATAATAGTAAGTTGCGGGATAAATGCATTAAGCAAGAGCAAGATTTTGATCGAGAAAGGGGAAGTTGAAATCGAGAGAGAAACAAGTTGAGTCAGAAACTAGGGGGCACCAACAACGAGACCCAGAAACTACGCAATCATGCTCTGGAACTCATTGACGAAGTTGAGCGTCTACAGATTGAAAAAGTCCGTCAAGATATTTCTCACGCAGAGTCTATAGCTAAGAATACTACAAAAACAGAGGAGATTAATTACTTCAGAACGAGATGAAATCATTAAAAGGTAAGTTTGTTTTATCCCAGAAGGACTCATTGAATAAAGGGTCTGAAATCGAATCTCTCAAATCTAAGATAGTTGAACTGGCCTTGAAAGTTAG